CTGATTTCTGGGCCTCATCCTCCAGAAATTCTGTTTCTTTGTTATGGGGTGGGGCCACAACATTAGTAACAAAGAAACAGAATTTCCGGAGGATGAGGCCCAGAAATCAGGATTTAAAAAAGATTCCCAGGTGATTCTAATGTGCAGCCAAGGTTGAGCACCACTGTTATAGATGATTACACCCATTTAACGGATGAGAAATGGAGGCCCAGAGTGGTCAAATTCCTCTTTATTTTTCTTTTTAATGTATTTTTTAAAATATATTTTTATTGATTTCAGAGAGGAAGGGAGAGGGAGAGAGAGATAGAAACATCAATGATGAGAGAGAATCATTGATTGGCTGCCTCCTGCATGCCCCCTATTGGGGATCGAGCCTGCAACCCCAGGCATGTGCCCTTGACTGGAATCGAACCTGGGATCCTTTGGTCCGCAGGCAGATGCTCTATCCACCGAGCCAAACCAGCTAGGGCCCTCTTTATTTTTCTACTAGAGGCCCAGTGCATGAAATTTGTGGATGGGAGGGGGGGGGAAGGGGTCCCTTAGCCTGGCCTGCACCCTTTCAAAATCTGGGACCCCTCAGGGGATGTCTGACTGTCAGTTTAGGATCCCGCAGATGGGGCCTAAACCAGTAGTCGGACATCCCTCTCACAATCTGGGACTGCTGGCCCCTAACCACTCTGCCTGCCTGCCTGATCACCCCTAACTGCCTTTGCCTGCCTGCCTGATCACCCCTAACCACTCTGCCTGCCTCCCTGATCACCCCTAACCACCTCTGCCTCCCTGATCGCTCCTAACTGCTCACCTGCCTGCTTGATTGCCCCTAACTGCTCGCTGGGGGGGGTGGCTGGCCGGGGGGCGGCCATGGTTGTTCTGGTCTCTGGTCGTTCCACAGTTTCAGTTGCTGGGCTTTTATTATATAGGATCAGTCGCAGTCATTAGTGCTATACAAAAAACTTCTGGCCCTCCCTTCAAAGCACATAGGCAGAGGGCACTTACAGACCCTTATGATTGGGCAGACATGTCACTAGTTCTGGACAGTGAGTTGTGAGAGGAAGTAACACGTGACATTTCTGAACTGAAGCGTTTAATTACTAGAGTGAGAGCCTCCGGAGATCTATTTCTCCCTGGCAGGGTGACCAGCCACAATTGAAATGGTGGTGGCTCCATCAGGCCAGGCCCTACGTGACTACAGTGAGTGGAACTTCCCAACAAGCAGCAATGGACACGGAGCAGGAATGAAAATTAAACCTTTGTTGAGTTTGACCACTAAGATTTTTGTTCAGCCACTAGGTTGTTTGTTCCTGAGGCAAAACCTGTCAGGATTGATAAGAATATTTTTCTTTCTTCTCTCCCCCCTCTGTCTCCCTTACTCCCCTCTCCCTCCCGTTAAACAATATTTTTGGGGTATTTACAATAATCCATACACCATTTCAGATACTTCCTTCAATAAGCAAGGTCCCTGGCTTGGGCCACCATGTGCAGTTACACAGTTATTCACTGTGCAAAAGCACCAGACCCTGGTGTGGTGATGTGTGTGCTAGGAGGAAGGGCTGCCTTTTCCTAGTTCACTCCTAGGTGCTATCCTGGCTAAATGGGGCCCTGTTGTGCTGCCCAGAAGCATTCATTCAGAGGAGAGGTGTAGCTAATATAACTTCTAATAGTCCCATGAAGACAATAAAACAAGAAAAGGTCTATAAACAAGGTCAGGGAGGGCCTCTCTGAGCAGGTGAAGCTGAATCTGAGACTTGACTGATGGGAAGAAGCATCCACACGAGGATGTGAGGCAAGAACGTTCCAGGCAGAGGGAACAGCTAATACAGAGCCCCTGAAGTGCTGGGCATGTCTGAGTAACAATAAGGAGGCCTGTGTAGTTGGAACAGAGTGAGTAAGGGGGAGAACAGGAGGAGGAGAGGGTAAGGAGGTGACAGGCATACATAGCAGGGCCTTGTGGGCTGCAAGAAGGACTTGGGCTTTTGCTCTGAGTGAGGTAGCAGCCATGGCGGGTTCTGAGGAGACTCACAGATTCAGGCTCATAGATCAGCCAGAGACCAGTGGAGATGGAGCGGAGTAAGCAATGGGAGGGTATGAAGAGGGAAAGTGAAAGAGGTGACATTAGCTGACTGTGCAGGGCCTTATAGACTGGGAAAGAATTCAGATTTCATTTTTCAGTCACATGTCCAAAGTCACGGAGGCTGGCTGCATCCTCAGGTCTGACTCCCAAGCCCAAGTTAATAACCACAAAGCTGTCCCCTAAGCGGCACTATTTTCCTGGGCCTCAGATGCTTGGCCTGCAGATGGGGACATTTTATCCCTGGCCAGGTTGTGGTGAGGATCAAATGAAACCAAATTATATTTTTCTGTGTAAAAGACTTCCTTCCCTCCATTCAGACCGCCTATTCTGGGAGCTGTCCTAGATTCAGTTGAGCCCAGTGGGCTGCACCCATCCTCATGCATCCATTCATTCGTTCGTTCATTCATCTATTCTCCAACCCCTCCTCCAGTATCACCTGGTCCAGCCCCATCATCACTCACCTAGACTAGTGCAGTTGCCTCCTCCAGGTTTTCCAGCTTCTACCCTTGCCCCCCACAGTCTCTTGTCAACACAGTAGCCAGAGTGATCCTGTAAAACATAAGCCAGATCATATCTGTCCTCTGCTCTGAACCCTCCCAGGGCACCTAACTCAGAATAAAAGTCAATGTTCTCCCCTCAGCCCATGAGCCCCCAAATATCTGCCCCCCCCCTCCTGTTACCTCCCTGCCCTCACCTCCTCCTACTCTCCCCCTCGCTCACTCCCTCCTGTCACATAGGCCTCGTCCCAACACATTAGGCATAGTCCTGCCTCAGGGCCTTTGCCCTGGCTGTGCTCCCTTGGTATCCACATAAATCACTCTCACATCTTTCAGGTGGAAAATATATTTCATCCATTTAGTTTGTTCATTATCTGTGTTCTAAAAGGGCAGGGAATTCTGTCTTATTCATACCTATATTCTCAGTGCAGAGACCAGTGCCTGGCACATAGCAGGTGCTCAATAAATATTTGTTGAATGATTTATCCTAATATTCACCAGCCCATCAGATTCTATGCCTGGCTCTGGGGAGACAGAGGCACAGGCGTAGTCTCTGCCCTCAAGAGGGTCCTGTCCCCCCAGCAAAACCACAGGCCCCACCTCTATGGTCCCCTATCCCTTGCTTGTCAGTACCTGCCTGGGCACAGGGCAGGTGCTTCATCTATCCATGGAGACAGGTATTGTATCTCTACCTTTTTGTGTGTTTTTCCCCCCCCACTCTCCTCATAATCAATGATGCTGAATACCTTTTAATACATTTATTAACCACTTAGATTTGCCTTTTTGTTACTTGCCTCCTGCACACCCGCTACTGTGGATGTGCCCGTAACCAAGGTACATGCCCTTGACTGGAATCGAACCTGGGACCCTTCAGTCCGCAGACCAACGCTCTATCCACTGAGCCAAACCGGTTAGGACAGTCTTTGCCCATTTAAAAATAATTACACAGCCCGTCTGGTATGGCTTAGTGGATTGAGCATCGTCCTATGCACCAACAGGTCATTGGTTCAATTCCCAGTCAGGGCACATGCACGGGTTGCGGGCTTGATCTCCAGTGGGGGGCATGCAGGAGGCAGCTGATCAATGGTTTTCTCTCATCATTGATGTTTCTTTTTTAAAAAATATATTATTTCTTTATTGATTTCAGAGAGGAAGGGAGGAGAGATAGAAACATCAATGAT